TAAAGTTTAATGTCTAGTATGAAACATGAATGAGATCACTCCCTAGGCCATCAATCTCAGACTTTTTCTGAAGGGTAGCAACACTGCTTTCGTGGAAATGTACTAAGATACTCTTATATAATTTACCATGAGTCAGAACATACATTTAAGAAAATATTAATTGCAGCTGCAAGAATAATTGTATGAGGAATTTCTAAGGTACTTGCAGCCATGGATCCCAGATATGTCAGATTAAAGTAAAATTAATTACTTATGACACTTATAATGTCATGCAAAATATTCCTGGATGAAAATTTATCCCACAGATTTGTTTCATTTTGAAATGTTTTCAGACATTTCAAGTGCTCTAAGTGATACACCCAAGTACCAGTAATGATATCTTTTGAGCTGGTCGGTATTAATAAAGTAATTGTAAGATTTTATTTGGTATTCGTGGGAAGTTTCAGAGCATTTTAGGATAGGGGGTTGAAAACTATTGCCGGCATGTTTCTTTTTTCATGTATGCCAGTGTGTTGTAATTCAATCTCATTGTCTTCCCTGGCAGATATTAGACAACCACATATCTACATATTGAGAGTTTTATCTTACATTTTACTTCTTTTTATCTTAGGGTTTGTTTGTATGCTTGATTTTTCCTTTCTCCAGGATAAATCTTTTTATTATAGTGGCTGTAGTGAATTTTTACAGGACATTCAAATATGTTTTCAATAAGATATTGATATGATCATATTTTACTCAAAAATTGTATTAACTAGGTTAAATATTTCCATTTTGCATGCCAAAGATTAGCTATTCTAAATAAGAGTTATGTTATATGGAAGGTTTTCTAAAAACTATTTGACTTGTACAACAAAAATACTTACCTGGTGAGAGAAAAGCATTTTTGAATTGTTTCTGTGTCATGTAACTTTTCTAAATACTTATGATTTGTATTTGCAGTATACAAGCCTTTAATTCAATTACTTCTTTTTTTTTTTTTTTTTTTTTTTTTTTTTTTTTTTTTTTTGTCCATGTGCCAGAGGAGTAGTAAAATAAAATTATTAGGGATGTATAATGCTGCTGTGATGTATCATAAGCATCCTTTAGGAGGGCAAACCAGGAGAAAAATTGCATCTGATAGAAACAGTCAGAATACCCTGGGAAAGAAGTGGATTTTTTTTTTTTTTTTATTTTTTATCAGCTGAGGATGATATAAGTACCTTTCCTTCAGATTTGGTATTTAAGTTCTGATTTTGATCTTGTTTAAAATAAAATTCATGTGTTTGTGTGTAAAAATGCACTAGCCCCTTCCAAACCAGGAAGCATTTTGGAAGCTGATAAAGAAGAAAGACTGGCTTTCTTTTCCGTGTAAAATTTAAAAGAAAGCAGGAAAGTATAAGAACTATTGAAAAGTACTCCAAACAACTAGGCATCTGTTCTTTAAAATAATCAGGAATTAAAAATTACTGTAGTTAGTTGAATTTTCATTTTTCAGTTTTTTCAATAGGGTCCAGATATCTTGGCAGTCTCAATCAGAACATTTTTTGGTGTTATTAGCTTCAGAAATACAGATAAATATCTGGACCCAGGTGTTAAGAAATAAATTGTCAATTCATCAATCCCAGTTAGTACATCCTGTCTTGAAAAAACTTAAATAAAAATCAAATCACACTGTTTTCTTATTCTTATTTTTGTCACTTATGAGATATTAGTTAATTTAATTAATTCTAAAGCATGTTTAAAGAGCTGCTATTTTAAATGCTCTTTGTGAATAATTTTACTTTAATTTAATTCCCATCCTTAATGTTGACAATAACAGTAAGTAAAAATCAGTTGCCTAGTAAAGCAATTACACCTTTTTGATCAGTTGCAGAATTAAAAACAAATATAAAAGCTAACAACTAAATTACATATGAAGCCAAGAAATTGCTTCAATAAACTTGAATAAACATGAGATTAAGTAAAAGAAGCAGCTAAATTATAAGATTTAGAGTCACACATTAGAAAAAGAATAATTGTGCCAAATCTTCACAGATACAATATTTTCACTTGAGGACTTTGTTTAAATCATTAACAAAGCTAAACAATGCAGTTAATAAAGAAGTTATTTCTTTTTGGACAGTTTATTTTATTTTACACTACCACATGTATCAATTGCTTTACACTAGACAGATTAATAGCTGCACCACAGTTCAAAAATCTCCTTTGACTTTTGACAGTTCTGGATTGTTACATGACTTCCATTCTTTAAATCTGATTTTAAACTTCCCTTAACTGTCACATCATCAAATACATCAAAATTCTAACTGCAACAGAAAATCAGTGTTCTATGTGTACATCCTGCATGATACTTTATATATAGTTTTTTACAAGTATTCAGAGTTTTTTCTCTCTCTGTGGTGGACTGGTCCAGTCTTGTCTAATCCTTGGATTTGTCATCAATGGTGCTGCATCCTGGAGTGGCATGTTCATAATAAACACTCACAATCACCCTCTTCTTTACCCACTCTAGTTGTTTTTCTCTTGAGCATCATCAATATAATGCATCTACATTTTAGTGACATCTATGTCCTCGTTTCTTTTCTCTTGCATTCCCTTCCAATGGTCTTACTGCAGAGAAGTGGATTAACAGCTCAATTGGAAGAGGCCATAAATATATTAATGGCACTTGGGAAGAGAGATTGTGTTCCAAGTGGTACATATTTACAATACACTTATCAATTTGTTTGCATAAAAGCACCGTCATAGGTACGCTTTGTCTGTAGAGTGTTCTTTTTGTAATGGTAATACAAACCTAGAAGCAGCACATAATGAAAAGATAAGAAGTTAAAAAAATAAAGGTTGTGGATGTTACCTTCTGAATGCCAGGTCAGCCCTGAACTAAAACCTGCTTTCAATTTAGCATATAGGCAGTAACATTAGGGACTTGACTTGGTTGACTAGGGCAAATAAACCACTCATAGCCCCAGGTACCTATGCTTGGCAGCTGAAAAAAAGCCTATCCTTAAGAGTGCACTAAATTTGCAGTGTGCATTTTCTTCCAGGAACTTAGTATTTTCAACTTCAACAACCATTTGTGAAAGACGAGTTGTTGTCTTTAACAAAAACAACCATTGTCTTCATTTTCATTTGTTCTTTGATTGAACTATGATTTCAGTTTATATTTTTAAACTCATCTATGATTTCTTCAATTTCATTTTTATATAAAAAAAAAGGTGAAGAGTTAAAAGACTTAACTGGGATACAAGAGTCAGCACTTTAAAACAATTACTGAATAGTATTTTGAAGTGTGACAGAGTGAAGGTAATTTTGGAGGCTTGTGTTTCACAGAGGAAAATCATCCTTTAAAACCATGTCTCTGCATATATGGCTCATAGACACACGTTAAATGATCCATTTTAGAAAGAAAAAGCTTAGTGAGATGCATTCCATCCACTTGCAAGCAGATCTATAACTATTTGATTCAGACTTGTTCACTCACAGATTCTTTCAGGTTATCACGATGCTGGGGTTTTGTTGTTGTTGGGTTTTGTGTGGTGTGGTTTTTTTTGTTTGTTTGTTTGTTTTGTTTGTTTGTTTTGTTTAAGATGACTTTAAAATATTTCTTAAAAGGGCTAAAATTTTCAAAATGCTTAAGTGCCTGCTTAGGTTTTCTGATATTTAGTGAACACGGACTTTTAATTCTTCCAGTTCATTATCCACTCCAGAGATACTGCAGAAAGTGCTTTTCTGCTTTAAGCTTTCTCTCCAATGTCCATCTCTAAAATGGGCACTGTTCTTTGATAAAATGAAAACACCAAACCAAGACAAAAAATAAGTGCAAACAATGGTATAATTAATTATTACCAACATAAATATTTTACAGTTTGCATTCATTACTTACCAATGAAGAATTTCTACACATTAACTTGGCATGATATGTTAGTGTCTATGTAGAGAAGATGATTTCTAGCAATTCTGGGGCTATTCACTTTGAGATCCAACAACAGCAATATGATAAACTCATTGTTGCACTCTGATTTTCACTGTAGCACTAAAACATGTGTTTGAGTCACTCTCAGCAGAGAAAACTCAGTTCAAACAGTTATTTCTTTCACTTATTTATGCTGATGTACATGCAGATGAGATATTTCATTTGTAACATACTACTAAACGGGAAATCTGTGCATTCCAAATTATTAGATATATAAACCCACTGGAGCATGTTCAAAAGGCAATGAAACTGGTGAGGGGTCTAGAAAGCAAGTCTTATGAGAAGCAGACTAGGGAACTGGGTTTGTTTAGTCTGGAGAAAAGGAGACTGAGGGGACACCTTATCACTTCCCACAACTACTTGGAAAGAGGTTGTAGTGAGGTGGGTGCTGGTCTCTTCTTCCAAGTAACAAACAATAGGATGAGAGTAAATGGCCTTAGGTTGCACCAAGGAAGGTTTAGATGTGATTTTACAATTATTTTTTTTTTTACCAAAAGGGTTGTCAAGCATTGAAACAGGCTGCCTGGGTATGTGGTTATATCACCATCCCTGGAAATATTTAAAAGATGTGTAGGTGTGGCACTTAGGGACATGGTTTAGTGGTGCACTTGGCAGTGGTAGGTTAACGTTTTTTCGATTTAAATGATTCTAATGTTCTTTTGCTTGTAACAGGCATCAAAGGCCTTCGAGATGCAGGAAAATATTTGAATGTAAACAATAAAATGGATGCACAGATGTAAAAATAGAACATGGGAACACTTTCATATATGAAAGGTGTGACCATATAATTAACTGGTTAGCAAAACGATGTTATTCTTTAGTGTGAATGGGCTTAGGGGCTACAGGTATATAACTGCTGCTACAGGTATATAACTGCAGATCTCTGTACATAATTCCCATTAAGACTTGCTTTCTGGAAAAAGATTCACATACAGACACCACAGAATATAATCCAGAGCAAATCTCAAATCCCTTAGGAATAGTTAGGAAAAGAGCATTTTTCAATACCTTATTTGAAACTATGTGGGATAAGACACTGCAATATATTAGTTTGGTTTCCATTTTAAACTTCTGCATGAGTTTCTCTGGATGGTGGCTCTGTCTCCTCAGAGCATGTTGCAGGGTCTTCTGGAAAGTTCCAGTAACTACATAGTTACTTACACAAACATATAACTCAATAAATCTTGTAAATTAGAAATAGTAGTTCTCTCAAACAGAAGTTCATAACAGGCTTCCTTTCCCTGATTAAGCCACCAAAATCAGGTCTGGTGTTGCAGAATCATAGAAAAAGCATGCCAAATATTTGAAAAAAGGTTTTCAACTAGTCCTTTCAGAAGAGCAAAATGAGTTAAATTCATGCAATCAATATTTTGCAGTTTTCTTCAAAAAGGGTTACTTCCTTCTGAATTCTGCATTTGCTGTTGCATTCAGTTCATGGCTGCCAAATCTGAGTGGATTCTGCATGTGTTTATCTTAGACACTCACTGAGATTTAGACACAATGTACAAGAAGATACCCAATTTTCAAAACTAAAAAGATAGCAAAGAAAAGATGAACAGTGGATTAAAAATGTGGAAACCATATGTTTACAAGCCATGACCCAGTATTAAAATTCATGTAGTAATTCATTAAAATGCACATAACTGAAGGTGTTTAATGGGATACCCTATGGCATGGCAGTAGCATGTGTCTAAACGTCTTTTACTGCTGTACTACGTTTTCCTATATTCAGAAGTGAGTTGGCTGAGGATAATTAGGTTTATCTTAATTGACAAGAGGATTTCTCACCTGTCAAGGATACATAAAGACAATCTCTTTTAATGCAGTTAGGGATTTCCCCTGTCTGGATACAATCAAACACAATTTTCTCTGTTTCAACATATTCTAAATCAGACTTTGCTTTTCCAAGATTTCTGAAAAGCTTCGTTGAGAGCTGTGTCCTGTCATTCAAAAAATAATTTAAAAAAAATTTAAAAAAAAGAACAAGATGAAAGGAACTAGTTACTTAACAAGATGCAGTTAGCCAGAATATGAGGAAGAAACATCCTGTAAAAATATAGGAAGAAAAAGATGTTGATATTGTAGCACAGGCTTGCTAAATAAACTTATTTCAGCATATTTTATAATACACTGAATAAAACTTGCATAACCCATTTAAGCTGAAATGTTTTCCTGCTTTTTGTAGCTGGTGTTTTTAAATTTCTTTCTTTCTTAACAGAAATATAGACTCTACTTTGATACCCCCAACCCCCAATAACTCCACATGGCAATTGTAATAGCTTTCTTTAAAATGTATTTTCTCTCTGTGAAAACAGCTCATTATTTATCTGTATTATTTCTATCTTATATTTATTAACTATCCAACATACCTTTTGTCATCCATAAGTTCATTTCCATAAAATGCTTCATAGCACAGAAAGTCAGCCTGAGCGTTATTAAAAGCTTCTTTCCGATCAGCCCTTTCATCCTCATTCTTCCTGATAAGCTGACTGATGTACTGTTGTGCCCCAGGAACATCATAATATATAGTGTAAACCTACCATGGATCAAAAATTAGATATTTCCTGTAAAGCTGGAATATCTGTTTGTAATTCATGTAGTTCACAGAACAACTGGAAGGACAGAACAACGTTTTACCATGATGCTGTTGACATGTTTCACTAATTTATCTTTTAAAATAATAGTAGTTAAGAAGGGTGCAAATTGGTCTAATCAGTTTTCTGTAGGCTGACTTTCAGTGGGTATTTATGGTTCTTGGATTCCATGTGTTATTCTGAAAATCTCACCTGTAGCCTTTAAATCAATATATACAGAATTATTTTTCCAATTTTTTAAAGACTATAGCAATAATAAATAATACTACATTTTTTTCCTTATTGAAATTTTTAGAAAACCAAATAAATTATTTTTCATCTTTGTAGTAACAGCGTTCTTACCTTCTTGACAAGAGTTTTCAAGAACATTAGCACTGTGATTTGAGGTTTCATTGTCTTGTTGCATCTTCTTTCACTTTGTAGGAGTTCAGTGACTTCTCTCTCTCGTTTCTGTAAAGATTCCTGTATCTTCTGCAGCAAGGCGTGTGCTTGCAAAAGATATCCCTTTCCCATTGACCATTCAGGCTTTTCTTCTTCATTAGTTACCTGGGGAAGCAATAAAGATAACCTTATACACTAAGCCAAGATATAGATATTCATTCCTTTCCTATGAAATGGAAATATTTTAATGAGCAAGGTAGAGCAAAAATGGAGAAAAACAAAATAAATATAGAATAAGAAAGGCTGCTTGGTTCCAACATTCAGTGTATTGTTTTTATAATTCAAAGCAGAAGTTCTTAAAGATTTTGTAACAGATTTATACTATCTAATATTATTAATGAAAACAATAGCATACTATAAGTGATTCCAGGGGAATAAGAATTCATTTAATTACTGGGGTGTTTTAATCATTCATCACTAATCTATCATTCTCAAGCCATGTATATATTTCAGTTTTTACTACCAGTTAGTCCCATAGTTTGCTTCAGCTTTTGTTAGTCATCCTGACTGCCTTTGAAATACCTTCAGTAATCTTAAAACAAACCAGTTACATTGCCATTTTTTGTGCTCACTTGTTCCATTTTTAATTCTAAAACCTCTGACACATCCACTTTTTCTCCTTCTGTCTTTTCAGACTTTTGCTGAAGAATTTTTATCTGGAAATTCATGAGGTCATACACTTTTTCCACATATAGACTGATGTTGTGAAGTTCCTGCAAAGCTGAATTGAAAACAATAGGAATAATAGGTGAGAACAATTCAAGCATTTCTAATGTGCAGTTCCTATAATATTACCTAGGCAGGACAAACGATCTCCCTTTAGAAATCAAGAATTTATAAGGAACTAATAATTTTTACTAATCCAGAATTTATTTATTAAAACTCAAAGAATTTTAAAGGGCTCATGCTTTGTTTTAAAGTTCTAATGGGAAACCTACAAATGTTGAAGTGAACCTATGCAAAACAGATGCTGACTGTAAAAAGCCAAATATGCTAAGGAGTTTGGAGTTATGACAGACATTATTTGCAGTTTCAACTTTCCCTTATTATTCCATCTGTGACACAGTATTGCAAGGAAAAAACTTGTATTGACTTCACCTGTTATGCATATCAGTGTAAACAGAAACAAACATGAAATAGAGATGAAGAAACTGTGTCTGAAATACTAAACTCACTCAGTGTGTGCTGGGTATAAAGATGATCTAGGTTTTTACACAAGTTTTCTAGAATCCAGACCTGCAAGACAAGAAAAGAAGACAGTAGGAAATCAATGTTACCAGTTTTCATTATGTTCCCTTGGTGAGAATGATCAATAATAGTAAATTAATTTGTTGCCACTTATAGGCACAGCCTGTTGTGAAGTAATTGACTGTTACTAGAAAATCTAGAAATAAACCAGAGACTGCTCATATCCTAGTGTTTTCACAAGAGCCTGTACCAAGATGTCTTATGCTTACATTTTCTTTAGCATTTGACCATATTACTGGAATGAAAGAAGAGAAAAAAAATTACAGAGACTCCTGAAACAGTTGAAGAAGAAAAGCTTTTGGAAGCAGAGTCAAATTTTAGCAACATTATTTGATCTAGTTAAAGGTACTCCTTCTTCCTACAAGGCTTAGAACATTGTATCCTCATCACTTCTTACTTTTTATTATAGTATTTTTGCTACATTTCCTTGACATATAATACTTAGATCAAGGGATTTCTAAACCCCATGATTTTACACAGTTTATCAATCAAGAATAGGATATTGTGCTAGACATTGCTGAAAGTGGAAAGAGAAAACCTTAACTTTAAATAATGGTGCTATGCAAAATTTAATTAAAAGGTGGTGCTACGTCACTTGAAAAAACAAAACAAAACAAAACAAATCAAACACAAAAAAATCCAAGAAAACCCCAAAACAAACAAAACACGACTCTTTCCCAAGACCCTCACTCAGAAATCCTACAGAAATCTTCATTCACTTTCATAAATGTAAAAGAGATTCTGCCTCTGAGACCTCCCCCACCCCCACCACAAGGTTAGCCAAGATCTCTCTGAACATGTCTCGGAGTAGTGCAATGAAAAGTTGCTATTATAAAGCAGTGTTGAAGATCTGCAAAATTTCAGAAAGACTTGCACATATTACGTGGAATAGAACACTACACAGAAAATAACAATTATCAGACCATGCTCACAGATGCTATCTATGAAAACCTCAATAAATTTCTTCCTTTTTACACCTCTTCAGCCATCTCAGATTGATAGTAAACTGAATTTGCGTTATTAAAGATAAATTTGGGAAACCTGAGGAATTGTAAGCGCATCCCTTTTTCCTGGGAGCTACCAAGTAAGGTAGTTTTGCTTCTAGGTCAACCAGTTGATTGCAGTGTTGTAGTGGCTTAGAAGAGGTGAAGATTTTAATGCTAATTTCCAACCAAAAAAAAAAACCAATGTGCTCTACTGTGATTTTAAAATTCTCCAAAGTCATGAAATTTGAAATGAGAGAAAGGAATTATAATCTAATAATTTTTAGTGGGAAGAATAATATAGCATGACAAAAAAAGTATGTTCATGGGTATTTAATGGCTGAAAAACTACTTGGCTGCTGTGAAAAAACAGGAAGGCACTTGTATAGCAGTTAAGTATTAGCTGATTTAGAAGTACATGTACAAAGGCAGACAGTCCAGTTTCCACATCCCTTATAGACTCCTGGAAACAGCACACACTGGAAATGGTAGTGAGAACACTGCCTAACTCCAAAAAGAAAACCCAAACTAGCTTTGTTTACCTTTTCTTCTTCCCATTTCTCTGTTTGTTGCTTCATTTGGTGAAGAAGGTCTTCCTTCTCTTGAATCAGTTGTCTGTTTCTTTCCTTCAGGCTCTGAAGGCAGTAGAATAAGGCAAAAGCAATTACAATTCTACACCATTGCTTAATTTTTCAAAAAGAACTATAGTTTGAGGTTTTTTTCTTCCACACATACTGAGAAGTCATAATATTTCAATTAGGCTGCTAAATCCTGGGAACATCGAACAAAAATAATAAAAATTGATTTACAATTATGACATGTGACCAGAGGTGGTCTGATTCTAAAGACGCTCCCTAAAGGATAGGGTAGCAGAGCAGAAGAAGGAACACGATAAACCTTAATATCTGTTCAGCACCCTATATATTCTAGTGAATATCTTTACACTTACTTTTTGTAAAAACAGAGCTATTTCCAAGTCCATATGTACAGAGAGTACAGGAGAGCCCTACACTGAGTTTTCATCAGGGGCATGAAGACAGGCCAAGCTATGAAAACTGTTTTGGCAACATACTGTGTAAGGCTATATTAATCTTCAGAAGGAAGATATAGTTTTGTATTAATTTCACAAACTGTATGTCTTCATTTGACTGTCTGTCCCTAAGAAGAAAACACTACTTATACAGCCTCTTCCTGTAACCTCTAGAAGTGCCTGCCATTCTTACCCCCATGTAAAAATTGTACTTTTGGTTACCTTAACTCTCTCTTGCCAGTGTGTGTTGCTCTTGTTCATCAGCTTCCGGTAAGCATCTAACTGGGATTTCAGACTTCTCATTTTCTCACCATAATGTTTCTTTATAGTAGTTACAGTCTGCTCCTGTATTACAAAAGAATATTGAGAAAATTTATACTGAGTGAAATCATGAAAGCCAAACATGATAAAGAGAACAATTTGTACAACAGATAATGCTTGGTTGTCTTTCTTCAATGCTTGTTATTGTCTGCAAACATTTCTTATTGATCACAGGATGTTTGTATTTTCACCCTCTGCAGATCTCAGTGAAATTTATGGCTGAAGTAATTTATCTTTTCTCTGTTTTTCTGCAGAAATATAAACCAAAGCCTTTCTGAGAGTAGACAAGAATGAATTCATTCTAAGCATAGTTATGAATTTAAAGAAATAAGACTTTGCTCAGAAAACAAAAGCTTGGAAATAATGAGATATGAGTAGCACAAAAATAACTCTTAGCAACAGGAAACATCTAAATAAGGCAATAAAATTTTATCAGAAATACAGACAAATCACAAACTTTAAAAAGCAGAGATAATTCCAGTGCTTCCAGGAATTATTTTTATTTCAGAGATTTTAATTAATAACACAATTAAAGAAACCAAAATGAATGAGGTTCTGGGAAGAAAGATCATTACAGTTCCTGTGTTTGCATCTATGCCCAGCAGGCAATTCTCTCTTACTATCAATCTTGTGTTCATTCTGTTTCTCTCTTCCTTTTCCCCAGTGCTTTACAGTCAGTTGAAAGTATAAGATTTGACTGTATAAGGGTTACATTCCTACTGAATCACAGAAATGAATTTACATAGGTATTGCAACACTTGTGCAGATGTGACAACCTGAGAATAAGATGAAGTCCTGTTCGTACCAAAGGACACCAAGCCTTTGTATGTTACATACAGGGAACACTCACAAGTTTCCTTGATGGTCTAAAGAGTTTGTTCACTTCCCCTTGGAGGTTCCAGAGGAATTTCTGAATCTCTTCTCTCTGTGCACTCAGAATAAACTGTAATTGTATGGAAAAACATACCTCTGCATAGGAAGTAAGAGACTGTCTTACTCTGGATCAGAAAAGGAGAATGATGTGACAAATAAGCAGAAAGATGAAGCAGTGGCTGCAAGAAAAGGTTTCACAACAGTGTAGTCAAAGTTGATGAGGGTAACTTCATATTTTGGGAGAATTACTGACTAATGGAACGCAGAAATGCTTCCACTAAAGAAAGTGAGGCACTATGTGGTTATGGTCAGAGGGCTGGCACTTGTGGATCCTCATCATAACCTTGCAGGGGTGTACAAGTGGAGGGATTCTTCTATTCTGTAAATGATATTGACAAAATATTGCAAGGTTAAAGCAAAGCTAAGTGCAAAGTAGAAGAGAAAGTACCCATAGACGAAGGGACTGTAAAGCTTTCCACTTTGGCAATCAGGGAAGGCAGTAGAGCTTGGCACAGCCCTTTACAGTAAGATCATTCTTGAGAGACACAATCTGCATAAACTCAAATGTTCTAACCATGGTGTCAGTCATTACAGGAAAGTGGCATCTAATAGAAGTTTTGTAACAAGTTTAGAAAAATCCCTGCAACTGTGCCAAATAAAAAGTAAAACCACATTTCTCAAAGTTGTAAGAACAATTACACTTAAGGAAACATTGACATTATCTCTGGAGATTTAAAATGGGTACCCGAATGCAGATGTAAATGTGAATTTTATCCTCTGTGTCATTTTTGACTAAAGTAAAACATAATAACAGTGTAAATGCTCCAGAAAAATTACCTGGTTTTCTGTCTTTATATTTTCTATTTGTCTGATTATCTTCATGTGCTTGTTTTTCATTTGCTGCATATCTTTTACAATCTGTAGAGAATGAAGGAAATTATCAACTCAGAGCACTAACAACTTCAGTTATAATGAAGCATCAAACTATTCTGAGGTACATTTCTCAATGACAGATACAGTACAGTGAAGAGTTTGATCTTGAAAACAGAAAAATAGCCAACAAGACTGCAGGCCAAAGCTTTTAGGCTGCAACAATTAGAAAACATGTTATTGAATAAAAATCTGTATATGACTTGAAATGGATTTTCTTTACTGGTCCTAGTACTGCATCTACACCTCTTCCTTTTTACTGTAGTGATCTGAATTGAACCGGGAAGTCATTACAACTATTCTGAAGTTCTTGAAAAAGAAATACAGCATTGTGAAGCCTATTACTAAGAAAAAAAGTAAAAAAAAAAAAAAAAAAAAAAAAAAAAAAAA